GTATATTATATAAAGAGAAATTAGGCAGATATTGTGTGTGTGTGTGTGTGTATATATATATATATATATATATATATATATATATATATATATATATACCTGTATTTTCCATAATTGTCCAGCCCTCATCCTGACTCACTGCCGATTATGAAATACCAGGAGCTATTTTATATCCCTATGTTCACATTCACTTATTCTAGTGATGAAAAATTTATTTACCACTTATTGATCGGAGTCCTATGTTCTCAAAGGAGAATTTTCATCTTTCAAAGTGGGGCCCAGCGCTTGTTATGAGAATGACGTGATAGTGACATGAAACACGTCAGGAAAATAGGAACAAATGTCACACCAAGTCAATGTCCATGAATGGCTTGATTAGCTTAAAACACAAAGGCAATTGGTCTGCTGTCATGGAGAACAAAGGAAATCACAAAGCATTCGGATTGGGAGGGCTGAAATCGTGGCATTTGGACTTTTTAAAACGGTTACAAAAACGCTGCCTCCCCTTTTGTTTCTTTCTTTTTCCATTTTGTTTGCAGAAAGCTTGTTTGATTGAATTTGATTGTTGACTGTTTCTATCTGGTACAGATAGGAGAGTAGTATGCTGACCCTTGACTCCTGCCCTCTCGAGGTTGTTGCTGATGTCACTAACAGTTGTTTTGGGTCTCTCTCTACAGTTCTGAAAGGTTTCCTGGTGTCAAACAACCACTATGTTTTTCTAGGTCTGTCTGTTGTGGTGATTTTATGAAACAAGATTGAAATATTTGTGTGTAGGGTGGCAGTTGTGGTGAGCAGTGCTAACATGGAGCTGGACCTGGTGAGGCAGTGCGTGGACCGAGCCCTGGTGCTGGAAGATCGTGTCAGCAAGTTCTCAGTGCAGCTGGGAGAATGGCCGGGAGACATGGCCAAGCTGCTGGATGTCCTGTCCAGAGAGGACGTCAGGTGAGGCAAACGACACTTCCATCATTCACATCAGCGTACTTGGACAGAGTCAAATCATAGCAAAGGAATTTGAAAGAAGGAATGAAATTTACCGTGGTAAACTGCGCACCCTTTAACAAATACCATTTGTTGTTGATGATCAGTTTTAATTACGACGTAGGTTGCTGATTGTCAAACCTGAGAGCAAGCAATAAATTGATGGAGGAATTACGGTCAAAAATGATGGCTTCTTTTCAATAAAAACACATTTGATTCGTGTGCGGTGTAAATGTGTAAATTGGTTTGTTACATTCTACACATCCATCCATTTTCTGAACCGCTTTATCCTCACAAGGGTCGCCGGGGGGTGCTGGAGCCTATCCCAGCTGTCTTCGGGCAGTAGGCGGGGGACACCCTGAACCGGTTGCCAGCCAGTGGCAGGCTGATTGAACACTCCAAATTGTCCCTTGGTGTGTGTGTGAGCGCGGATGGTTGTTGGTCTCTGCGTGCCCTGCGATTGGCTGGCAACCGGTTCAGGGTGTCCCCCACCGACTACCCGAAGACAGCTGGGGTAG